GTGGAGTATGTATCTTGCTGTGTAAACCTATATCTTGCTCTTGCTCTATAATCCTATCTTTCTCACCATCAATAAATTTCACCTCATGCTTGCCTTACTTTGATGCGTCTCGTCATTCTTGACCATGGACGTGCCAAGAACCTACATTTTCACACTGAAACCCGACACACCTAGATTTGTGCGTAAAGAACACGATACAAAAACAGGCAGGTGTAATGCCAAAGAGTTTGAAAGCAAGAAGAGGTCAACTAGAGATCATTTCAATTGGTTCTGAATATACAACTTTTGGCCACCCTCTGGCTAGAGAGTGACCTGGGTCTGAACCCAGATTTGTGTGCTCTTCCCACATCATCATCATCCTTCTCCCACTGAGGAAGGAGGAAGTGAACACCATTTCATTTTGCTTAGACAAAAGATGTTGCTCATTGTTCACACTTTGGACACTAGGCTGCTGAATAATGACCTTCCAATCTTCATTTTTAAAACAATTTTAAAACCATAAAAATGTGAGATTCTCTGCCAGGCACAGTGGCTCACACCCATAATCCAGGCACTCTGGGAAGCCGAGGTGGGAGGATCACCTGAGGCCAGGATTTCAAGATCAGCTGGGGCAACATAGTGAGATCCCATCTCCACAAGAAATTAAAAAAATTAGCTGGGCATGGTGGTGCACGCCTGTAGTCCCAGCTACTCAGGAGGCTGAGGCAGGAGGATCGCTTGAGTCCAGAGTTCAAGGCTGCAGTGAGCTATGATCATGCCACTGCATTCCAGCCCAGGCGACAGAATGAGGCCCTGTCTCAAAACAATAAATAAATAAATAAGTAAAACATACAAAAATGTCAACAAGGCTTTATTTGGATGGAGAGACTTATGGCTCTTTTTGTAAAATGACTTATTTTTTACTTCTACTTTATGTTTTTTAAAATTTTATTTAAAGGAGTATGTTCTATTCTAATAACAATAAAAATAAAGTCTATTAGAAAAAAAAGAAAACTTGGCATCGGACCTTTGTATCTCAAACCTATCTCAAACCAAAAAATTAGAAGTTCCAAAAGAGAGTCTCCAATGTGCTGGGATTACAGGTGTGAGCCACCCCACCCCACCCGGCCTCAAATGATTTAGAATAAAGTCTTCCGTGACTCATCAGTCTGAAGCCCAAATAAAGAAAAGAAAAGAAAAGTAACAACATCTTCCATTTTTCACTCCTCCAACAAAAACAGAGCCCTGACTTATTCATGGGAAAGGTCACTGTTCAATACAGATTTTGAGAGGTCCTTCTTTTGAGCCAGTTATCAGGATTTAGAATAAAATTGCATCCCTCCTAGAAGCTATCTTTCCCCACATAGATTTAGAGAATTAATATGACAAAGGAAGAAGAGGCAGGGATTTCAGATCTTCCTAAAAGCTCTGAGCTGTACACAGGGCCCAAGCACCTGGGTGGCCCAGGTTCAGAGCAAAGTGGAGGATTCATTTAAAAGAGATTCGGGAGGGTAATGTAGGTCAGCCAATTCACGTCTGGCTGATACTTGCTGGGGACTGACTGTCATTACCACCTGACAGATGTTCAGTGGCCTGAATGAACTGAGCTGGTCTCCTTCCAGTTTCTAGAGAACAGGTGTGCAATCACTAAACAAGAGGGGGGACTCTACTGTCACAGTTGACACTGACTAACATCTTTGCAGGCAGGTGCAGCAGAAAGGCCAAGAGTTCAGTGGCTATGGAAGGGGCCGATTGGCTCTGGAAAAGGCAGGGACACACTGAGGAGCCCTTGTGATACCAGAGTTCTCAAACAAACACCCACAGCCTTGGAAGCCCACACTTTGACACATGCCTGGGTGGCCATAGTCTGCGGATGAGTTACATTCGAGTCCTCAAACTATTTGGAAAACTCAGAAAGGCAACAGTTGTCAGCAGCCCCTCCACCAACTAAAAAGTAAAATACATTGCTGGCTGCATTTCTAGTTCAAATCCTGCTCCTTCCATAACATTCTCCTTGTCTCTGACCAGATCTCTTTTGGTACGCTGTATCTTTAGTACCCATTGGGCACAGGTCTATCAGTGCTACTTACGTGATTTCACAGTTCCGCATATCCAGACAAGTATCTGGGATACTGGCCCAGAACAACTGGCCTCCTTTTAAGTTTGAGACCCCTGAGAGGCTCCAGAATCTTTCTACCTAGGGAAGCCTCTCAGACCAACCACACACTGGGCACACTCACTGTTGCACTATATTTTGTGTTCTCTCTCTGATCACCAGGTTGATCCTTTAAGGACAAGACTATTACCATCAACGTCGCCCCCACCATGGTCTAACACAATGCTCTGCACACAACAGATGTTCCATACTAAATGGAACATCTGTTTGTCAACTAAAATGAATGTGATTCTCCACATATTCAATAAACACATATTAACACAGAAGTGATCGTCATCTTACAACAGAGCTTAGTTTATGGGTCCACTTTTCAAACACAATAAATTGACAATGGAGGTAAGTCAAAGAGTGGCCACTACGCCACTGAGCCTCTGTCCTTGCCTCTCCCACCACTCCCTGATCAGTCAGGGCAGAAGTCACCCCTGGTTGAGTGTGTACTCTTTGCTAAGGACCATACATACCTTATGTCATTTAACCCTAAGAGACAGAAGCCACTAAATCTACTGCTAGCATTGTGCAGAAAGACTGAGGCTTAGCAAAGTGGAGAGATTTTCTCACAATCACATTTTAACTGGAAGGTCTGCTTCTTAAATCAGGTCTCTGATTTCAACATTAGGGGTTACTGAGCTAAGAGGAAAGGATGGGAGGAGAGAGGGGGAAAGTACGTGAAAAAGAAAAATCCACTTTTCAGAGCTCTGTCCTGTCAAGTCTTCCTCCATAACTGTGATGGTTGCCATAATCACCCCAGAACCAACCCCTTTCAGCTCCCTCCTTAGGCCCCAGGAAGGCTCTTGTTCCCCAGCAGGGAGAGTTGGCTGCTGATGGGTCACAGCTAAGTTCCAGCCCCACTCCGGGGCTGCTCAGACGCAGGAGTGCAAAGTCCCGAGTGCCCTGCCTGCCTTTGGGAAATCTTTAAGGGCCTTCCCACCTGCAGTGCTTCCCCATGGCATGGGCTGAGGCCTCTGCTACAGCAGTATCCCAGCCCTACCTCTCCAACTGCCCAATTCTGGCTTTTTCCTTCCCTCCCTTAAGAACCTCCCGCAGGAAAATCTCTGCCGCTGAGCCCATTCCCTGGGAACCTGCCTGGAGACACTAACCCACAGTGAGAAAGTGGACGTGTGGGCCCACAGCCTCTGCTCATCTCGCACTGGGAGAGGCATGCAGGACAGGCACATCTGAATCACCTTGCCTAGTGTCAGCTTGAAAAGTACTGAGAAGGCAGAGCCTGCCTGTTTCTCTTCTTGCCCTGATGTCCTCGTTGCTCTAGTTGGTGGCCCACTCTGTCCTCCTCTCCCATCAAGAACTACTAGGTTATTAAGGTGAAATGTCCGATTAACTTAAGTACTAAGTTTGACAGTTGATATCATTCCTCAGAAAAACAAAGAAGCAATCAGCACCCCCTGTGCTTATGTCAAAAGCACACTGAAAGCTTTTTGCAAGGTATCTGGTAATGGTTCAAAGAGGCAGCAGCCTTTTAAATTCGGTCTTCCCTGATACTCAGCAAAGGTATATTTATATACTTTTGGACAGGTTCAAGATAAAGGGAAAATAGAAAAAAATTCATTGGAGAGGTTTGCTATGGTATATCTACTCTACTGAAGAACAAGGAGGATGGAAGAAGTTGCTTCTAATTTTCTCATTTCTCAAAAATGAATACTAGGGTTGCTACTTAGCTTGTCACTGGTTAATATACAAAGTTATGAGACAGTAGGCTCAGAAGAATGAGCAAGACACTGGAGTCTCAAGGACAAACAATTTTAATTGCTATTTGCTACTGCTATCTTGAAGGAATCCCTGTATAAGTCACCTAATCTTCTTGAACTTCAGTTAAAAAAAAAAGTGAGATAAATAAAGGTTCATTTCACAATATTAATTATATTTCAGGTATAATTAATAAAATAAAGATAGATGCTCTTCGATTTATGATGAGGTTACATCCTGATAAACCCATAATAAGTTGAAAATATCATTAAGTTGAAAATGCATTTAATACACCTAACCGGCCGGGTGCGGTGGCTCACGCCTGTAATCCTAGCTCTCTGGGAGGCCGAGGTGGGCGGATTGTTTGAGCTCAGGAGTTCGAAACCAGCCTGAGCAAGAGCAAGACCCCGTCTCTACTAAGATTAGAAAGAAATTAATTGGACAACTAAAAATATATAGAAAAAACTCGCCGGGCATGGTGGCGCATGCCTGTAGTCCCAGCTACTCGGGAGGCTGAGGCAGGAGGATCGCTTGAGCCCAGGAGTTTGAGGTTGCTGTGAGCTAGGCTGACGCCACGGCACTCTAGCCTGGGCAACACAGTGAGACTCTGTCTCAAAAAAGAAAAAAAAAATACACCTAACCTACCAAACATCCTAGCTTAGCCTAGCCAAGCTTAAACATTCTCAGAACACTTACATTAGCCTACACAAAGCCTATTTTATAATAAAGTGTTGAATATCTCATGTAATTTATTGGATACTCTACTGAAAGTGAAAAACAGATTGGCTGTACGGGTACTGGAAGTATGATTTCTACTGAACGCACACCACTTTTGTGCCATCATAAAGTCAAAAAATCATTAAGTCAAATCACTGTAAATTGGGACTATCTGTACACAGAATTGTCTATCAGACATTGTTCATTAATAATTCCCAAAGATATTGTAAACTCTCCCTCTGGCAACATAAATATAGCTTTTTAAATTTGGTAAGCACATTTTTATTACTAAAAATGTAAGATTTTAAAAACTAACACACATACATACTTACCAGGAGAACTACAGCAGAAAATAATGTGAAGTATGGACTCACCTGTGATGATGGAAGGGCTTTCAGGTATAATCTAAAGCTCTGGGATCATTTACCTTGATATGCTGCCACAGATGATCGAGCACGGTTGAGTGTTGTGCAAGTAATGAATGGCTTTGGATATTCCTATTAATATACTGATTCGCAGGTGCCAAGAGAGTGGGGCCGTGTTACCCTAAAAAGACAACAGCAGTTGGTTTGGCTGCACATTCTAAGTAAAAACTATCCATATATTTATTAGAATGAAGTATGCCAGAATAGAAATAAATGGCAAGGTGGGGTAAGGTGAGGGAATCAACATTCTGGTTTGCCACAACCTATTTTTAATTCCAGATGAGTTTCTCTCTGCTACTGATAACAGTTCTAGGCCTCTTTTTTTAGTTTTCTTTTTTTATTTTGTTTGGTTAGGCCTCTTTATAGACAATGAAAACACTCAATAATTTTTAATATTAACTTAATCAAAACATAGGTAGTAAGGTAACACTTTAAAAGCTCATTAACTAAGATTTTAAAATTATTTGTGGCACAATCACATGGATAATTAAAACTAATCTGCTTTTATTCTAACTGAAACTCAACCTATTTGGAATTAATTTTTAAACCTACCCTTCAAAAACATCTTACGAATCTTATAAGAAATCATGGCATATATTTGACTTCCTTCTCCTTAAGGAGCCTGTATTACTTTTATGTCTATCCTTTGTATTGAAGGATACTTTGCATAAAGTTATACAAGTTAAAATTATCTGAGAAATAAGGTAGTTGGTATAAACTTACAGGAGGTATAGAATCAGTGAGGAGTAAGGGCCCAGAAAATCTTTTGCCAAACATGTTGCGCAAAACATGGTAACTCGGGTTATTTGTACAGACTTCTAAGAGCAAGAAATTAATTCCAGGAGAGATACTCTACTTCCTTGAGAAACCCATCCTTAGCTATCCCCTCAGGCAAACACACCTTACCCCTCCGCTCTCTCAGAAAGTTTCAGCAGCTATCCCAGGAGTTCAAGGAATCAGAGGATCAGGCAGAATAATAGATATGACTTACTACACACTGTAATCTGTCAAAAAGCGTTCCATTTCTCATATACGGATAAACCAAACAGAACTTCTCAGTCTCTGTAAAATACGCAGCCAACTCTAGTATATTTGGATGATGAAACCTTGAAACAAAAGATTTTTAAAGTCATCAAATTGATTATTCAAATAGGAAATGAACAACACCCTGGTTTGGGGATAGTAAGGTGGGATGGGGAATCGGTTTAAAGCACAATATAAATTCGGCTGAGAAGTAATTTCACTGGACACACTACACAAATTTGCTTTCCAAATTGGTCTAAAGAGTTCTAACAAATACTAGTTACTCTTTTTGATTGACTATGATAATGCAAATATAAATAAAAATCAGTTACCTTTTTATACTGACAATGAACTATCCAAAAAAGAAATTAAGGAAATGATCCTATTTATAATAGCATCAAAAAACCCCCAAAATTCTTAGGAATGAATTTAATCAAGCAGGTAAAAGATCCATAAACTGACAACCATAGGACATTGATGAAAGAAACTGAAAAAGACACAAATAAATGGAAATATATCTCATGGATTAGAAAATTAATATTGTTAAAATGTCCATATTACCCTAAGTTATCTTCAGACCCAATACAATCCCTATCAAATTTCCAATGGCATTTTTAACAGAAATAGAAAAAATAATCCTAAAATTCATACAGAACCATGACAGATCCCAAATAGTCAAAGCTAATTTGAGAAAGAAGAACAAAGCTGGAGGCATTCACTTCCTGATTTCAAACTATATTACAATGCTATTAGTAATCAAAACAGTATGGCACTGGCATAAAAACAGATACACAGACCAACAGACTAGAATACAAAATTCAGAAATAAACCTACACATATATGGTCAACTACTCTTTGAAAAGGGCACCAAGAACACACAACAGGGAAAGAAAAGTCTCTTCAACAAATGGTGTTGGGAAAACTGGATATCCATATGCAAAAGAATGAAATTGGGCCCCTGTCTTATACCATATACAAAAATTAACTCAAAATAGATTAAAGACTTAATGTAAGATTTAAGATTTGAAACCATAAAAATCTTAGAAGAAAACAGGAGAAAATCTCATTGACATTGGTGTTGGTGATGATTTTTTGGATATGACACCAAAAGTAGAAGTAACAAAAGCAAAAATAAACAAATAGGATCAGACTAAACTAAAAAGCTTCTGCACAGCAAACAGTCAACAAAATGAAAACAATCTACAAAATGGGAAAAAATATTTGCAAACCATATATCTGATAATGGGTTAATATATAAAATATATGAGGGACTCAAACAACTCAATAGCAAAAAAGCAAATAATCTGATTGAAAAATGGGCAAAGGAACCTGAGTAGACATTTTTCCAGAGAAGGCATACAAATGGCCAACAGGTATATGAAAAGGCACTCAACATCACTAATTACCAGAGAAATGCAAATCAAGGCCACAATGAGGTAACACCTCTCACTGTCAGAATGGCTATTATGAAAAAAAACAAGCAATAACAAGAATTGACAGCGGTATGAAGAAAAGGGAATGCTTGCACACTATTGGTAGGAATGTAAATTTGAACAGTCATTATGGAGGTTCCTTTAAAAATTAAAAATAGAGCTACCATATGATCTAGCAATCCTCCTTCTGGGATTATATTCAAAAGAAATGAAATTAGTGTCTCAAAGAGGCATCTGCACCCCCATGTTCACTGTAGCATTATTCACAATAGCCAAGATAGGGAGATATGGAATCAACCTAAACATCCATTGATAAATAAATGGATAAAAAAAAAATGATACACACACACATACACTTACACAGAGTGGAATATTATTCATCCATAAAAAAGAAAACATCCTGCCATTTGCAACAACCTTGATGAACCCGGAGGACATTATGCTAAGTGAAACAAGCTAGACACAGAAAAATAAATAGTGCACAATCTCAGTTATACGTGGAATCTAAAAAAGTCAAAGTCACAGAAGCAGAGAGTGGATCAACAGTTATCAGGGGTTAGGGGTGGGCGAAATGGAGAGATGTTAGTCAAAAGGTACAAACTTTCAGTTATAAGATCAACAAGTTCTGGGGATCTGGTGATAGATATATTAATTAATTTGATTGTGGTACTCATTAGACAATCTCTTTATACTATATCAAATCATCACATTATACCATTGAATATATACAATTTCTATTTGTAAATTAAGTATTTTTATGGCAAAAATTAACGAGTTAGAATAAATACTAGGTTGGCAAGAATGGGAACCCAGCTACTCTCCTACATGACTGCTGTCAAGTGTAAACTGGTTCAACTTCTATTATAGGACAATTTGGTACTATATAATACACATAACCATTTGATTCTATACTTTTATTTATGGGAATTTATCTTACAGATATATTCAAACAGGTACAAAATAACATACATACAAGATTTTCCTGTTGAAGCATTATTTTTGAATAATAAAAAGGTAGAAAAATATAAAACTCATCAATAGGAGAATGGTTAAGTAAATTACAGTACAGTGTATATAGAATATGAAAAGAAGCAAAGTGAACAATGTGTTTATACTACCCTTTGTGTAAAAGGATGAAAGTAAAAACAAAATACCTATTTGTCTACACATAAAATATCTCTGGAAATATATATAAGAAACTGATAACACTGTTGCCTTGTAAAAATCATCTGGGTGTCTGGATGATAATAATGGGAGAAAAATTTCTTGGTCTACCCTTTTGCACTTTTGGAATTTTGAAATGTCTGAATCTTTCTTTTTTTTGTTTGTTTTGTTTTGTTTTTTGAGACAGGGTCTCACTCTTTTGCCTGGGCTAGAGTGCAGTGGCATCATCATAGCTCACTGCAACCTCAAATTCCTGGGCTTAAGCGATCCTCCTGCCTCAGCCTCCTGAGTAGCTGGGACTACAGGTGCACATCACCATGCCCCACTAATTTTTTAAAATTGTATTTGGTAGAGACGGGATCTCGCCACATTGCTCAGCTGGTCTCAAACTCCTGGCCTCAAGCAATCCTCCAGCCTTGGCTTCCCAAAATGCTAGGATTAAAAAAAACAAAAACAAAAAAAACAGGCCGGGCGTGGTGGCTCACGCCTGTAATCCCAGCTCTCTGGGAGGCCGAGGCGGGCGGATCGTTTGAGCTCAGGAGTTCGAAACCAGCCTGAGCAAGAGCAAGACCCCGTCTCTACTAAAATTAGAAAGAAATTAATTGGACAACTAAAAATATATAGAAAAAATTAGCCGGGCATGGTGGCGCATGCCTGTAGTCCCAGCTACTTGGGAGGCTGAGGCAGGAGGATCGCTTGAGCCCAGGAGTTTGAGGTTGCTGTGAGCTGGGCTGATGCCATGGCACTCACTCTAGCCCGGGCAACACAGTAAGACTCTGTCTCAAAAAAAAACAAAAAACAAAAAACACACAAATAAAAAAAAACCCAAAAAACAAAAAACAAAATGCTAAGATTACAGGTATAAGCTACCACGCCCAGCCTGAATCTTACTTTCATAAGCAAATAAACAAAACTTAAATGTAAAAACTTTTTACCATTGTGTTTAGTTTTTTATTGACTAAATGATGTATACTAAGTTTTTATGATTGCCCTCCAATATTCTGATTTCTGGCCCTGGCTATGAAAGGAAAGTGATTCAGTACAATACCTTCTCTCCCCACCTTCCTCCCTGCCCCTCCACTTCACATGTTGGTTCAGAAAACATCTGAAAAGAACACTTTCTATTTGTAAAGGGTAATAAGTGAACTCTATAGGGTTGGGTCCTTCAATAAGGAAGGCTGCACAACTGCAGATACGAATATATATGAAAATGAAGTCATTTTGTCTCCAAGGACTCTTAGACTCATGAATGAATTCCCAAAAAATAATAAGCACATGAAAGGCACTTGATTTCTTTGTCTAAAACTCTCTTCCTGAAGAGAGTTATACTAATGAAACAATTTCTAGACTGGAATGTCTGTAAAGAAAAGGGGAAATGGTAAAATATATATAATTCTAATGTTCTAAGAATTATTACTCAGCCATGTTAGTCACACATGATTTAACCCACTTCCTTGTGACAGTTTCTTGTTAAAGTGTGTTCAAGTGAATTACATAAATGATCTATTTTAAAAGGTACTTTAAGGAATATACTGAAGAAGATGTCAAAAATTTACCCAACATTCTAACATACAACCCACATTTATTAAATGCCATGCCAAGCACAGTACTGTAAAATCAAAGAAGAACAGAGATGAAACCCAAGCACAAAGAGGGGAAAATTCCAGATAAGATATACTCACAGTAGTAAAACTTCAAGCTCAGATAAAAACCTCTTCCAATGTTTTTGGCATTGCATTTTTTTCTCCTAAGTATCATACAGAAAGACAAGAAAAAAATTAAGAAAATGATCTCTATTTCTGGGATTCTTAACCTAGGGTCTATGATCTGCCTAAATTAGATAAACTTTTTCATGTAAATGCACTTGATACTTTTCTGGGGAGAGAATCTTAGCTTTCATCAGATTTTTGAAAATCCATTAGCCCCCAAACAGATTTAGAACCACCGCTCTTGAATTAAAAGTTTATCATGCAATATATCATGTTGCCAAATTTTCCGTTTTAACTCTTTTACTGTATTTTGCACACATGTACATAAATTCAAAAGTATTCTATGTATTCAAAGAATATCCCATGACATTTAGAACCTCCCCACTTGATCTTCCAAAGAATCCAATTTGTGTTACTTATATTCCGCTGCAAAATTTCACTAATTTGGCATTTATGACCTGGGTCATTTGGATATGTCAATTCAAGTTTACCTTTGCATTAATTTTGAAAAGATGAGCTTACTAAGCAAATGATAATATAACTCCTTACCTCAAAGAAGCTTTTGAAGCTAGCCTAGTGCCTGACACATGAATATTGAATAAATTAAGTAATTCAGTAATATTGTACTGACCACCTACTCTACACCTGGCACTGTTCTTGATGCCTTTACGCATCTTGTATCATTGCATGTATCTGCATCTCAGGTTCCTAACTTCGACCCCCCACAGAAGAGTTATTAATAAATTAAGTATACTCCCAGGTCCCATCACCTGTAGGGCTCTGTCATTTGCAAATTGCTAGAGAAGGCAGAGTTCTGGAGCTATGTCCTCAGAGGGACAGAGGGAAAAAGGGAAAAAAACTCAACAGGAATCCGGAAAGCTATTTTCCAAGTTAAGCCAGGACATCAGAAATAATACATCAGGCTAAAAAATCATTTTCAAGGACCATTTTATCAGAATTTGCTTTTTACAAGACCACTGTCCTGGGAGCCAGGAGGACTGAGTTCAGGCCCATCTCTAACACTTGCTATTTGTGATTTTTTGTCAGTCACTTAACCTCCCTAAAGTCATAGTTTTCTTCCTCTGAAAAATGAAGGAGTTGGTTTTTGTGTTCATGCCAACCTAGCACTCTAACACCTGTTGCTTAAAGTGTGATCTATGTACAAAAAACTTCAGCTTCACTGGGAGCTGCTGAGAAATGCTGAATCTTGGGTTCCTGCCCATTATGCTGAATCAGAATCTGCATCGTAAGATAATTCCCGGGTGATTAGTACATATCAAGTTTGAAAAGCACAGATCTAACACATCTAGTACAATCCTCCACCTCAGTCCCTCTAAGAAAGGTAATCGGCACTGTCCCAAGGTTACAAAACTACATTTCTTCAAAATATGTTCTGTGGCTAAGGCTTCATTCAATGATCTCATCTTTCCTGATAAGTGTGTGTGTGTGTGTGTGTGTGTGTGTGTGTTGGGTTAAAGAAGGAGGTAGAGATAAAAGCAGAAGGGGGAAATTCCAACCACACTTCTATTCCCTACCTTAAGAGGGAGTTAAAATGTAGGGACAGTAGGACTTTGGTCCCTTGTAATCTCTAGGTTTTTTTACTCCTAATGATCAGCAACTAACTAAATTCTTGAAAAGGGCATGTATGCTTCATTCAATTCATCCAACAAACATTTATTGAGTTTAAGTACTATGGGCCAGGCTCTGTCGTAAGGTACTAGGATACAAAGGCAAATAAGAGCTCTTCAAAGAAAGCCATCTAGTCCGTTGGGAGAGGCAGACAAAGAAATCAATACTACAGGCTGAGGCTATGATGCTCCAGCTACACATTGGAAGCTCATCAAAACCATACTGGAGGGGTCAGAGGCAATCAAGAAAATAATGTCTTTAAGACAGGAAGGGACAGGGATCTAAAGGCAATGACATCCCATTCTGAAGCGAGACTCAGAAAAAAAAAACCCAAAAGAGAGTGTGATTTGGTGGCAGCTGCAGAGAGAAGAGGAAAGCAGAGCAGAAGGACCCTTTGGGGAGGTGGCCCTGGGCTCAACCGTAAGAGAGTGTACAAATGGATGTCGGCACTAAGAAAAAAGAAATGGGCTTCATTCAGGAAGGCCACCTCTAAAGCAACCACATACTATTTGTTGAATGATTTTACCAGTAGACTGTTTCTTTATTAGACTTCATTTTGTCAGGAACCTTGAGATGTCTATATAGAATTAAGTAGTGCAAAATACAATTTGGGAAAATGGAGAAATCAGGTTAATAATTTTTTAAATGGCTTTGTAAAATAAGCTGCAAACTAGGAATCACCTTAGATTCTTCCTTCTCCCCACTTTCCCAGTCCTATCCAACAGATCACTAGATTTGGTCCATTTCACCTCACCTCTTATACATACCTTCTTACCATCCCCACAGACTTTGCCCTGGCTTACAGCATTAGCTCTCAACACCGGCTACACATTTGAACCACCTAGGAACCTTTTAAAAAATACTGATGCCTACCACCACTGCCACTGTTCTGACTTAACCAGTTGCTACAGGGTTCATTTTTTAAAAAGCTCCGTAGGTGATTCTAAATGCAGTTAGGATTGAGCACACTGGTTGATGCCTTGCCCATTTCTTGGTTTACACATCTGAAATATCCCTCTACCAGGTGTTCTGCTTTTGGTCTAATTCTTGCCATCTTTCCCCCAGTTCCCCTGCCAACTTCCAATCCATTGTCTAACCTGTCATCAAAGTTATATTTTAAAAATACAAATCTAAGCCTTTCGCTCTCCTACTTAAAAACCACCCACGGTTTTAAACCTACCCTATCTTTCCAGCAATACCTTTTGTCACTACCTTCCCTCCGCCCACCTTCCCACTCCACTCCACTGGATGAATGCTTATTCCTGAGAAAGATCTGTGTTTTCACACACACACCCAGGTATGTGCACCTGCTAAGTACTCCACCCAGACTGTACCTCCCCACCTTCACTGCCTCCCAAAATCCTACTCATCCTTCAAAATCCAGCTGAAAGGTCACTTCCTTTTTTCCACTTTTCCATTTGTTTTCGAAAATGTTTATGAAGTGCTAACTCTGTGCCAGTTACTCTTCTGGGTGCCAGACACACCCCTCCTCTGGGTGGAGAGAGTTGTGATCTTTTGTGTGCCTCTGTGACCTACAAATTCCTGCTAAAGTACTTCTCCCGTAGCCTTCATTTAATCTTTTGTTCAGCTGGCTGTTTCTCCCATGGGACTGCGAGCTCCTGCAGGACAGAACTATGCCATATTCATCTCTACATGTTCAGTGCCCGGTCCATACAAAGAGTTTAGTAAAGGCTTATTGATCGTTAACCAACAATGAAGAAAATGGAGAGCAGCTCTTTCATGTGCATGTGTTCATACCCATCTCCCACTGACTCCTGAGTTTGGTCCCCTTTCTGCCTCACTGGCTGCAGTCACCCAACTGTCTTCTACCCTTCTACTCTGATCATTGGCCTGTTCCCACTTGAAGCCTCCTCTTTCCCACCCTCCTGAACTTTGATAGAAGACAATTTATAAAGTAGCACCAAATGCCAAACTGTGACTTAGCCTGAGAAGCTGCCTGGAGAGGACACTGCTCATCCTTAAAAGCCAGGAAAACTGGAGCAGACTGGCACAACCTGACCCGCTTAAGCAAAGTCCCAGAGGTCCTACATGGCTTTTCACAAAAGTCTTTCTCATGCAATAAATTGGGGAATGGGAAGGATTTAACTTTTACATTCCCGCAAGACAGGCATCCATTTTCCCAGTCATCTGAGGTCATGTATTTTATTTCTATTTATGAATTTTTTTTTT